GTGCGGATATAATCGTGTAAGCTAACGACAAAATTATTATGTTTTCGTTTTTTTTTTCTGGCTTTTAAATTTTGTTAACGTAATTTTTTAAATTTTTGAAAAATTTTAATTATTTTTTTAATAATTTTTATTTTTTTCTTTTAAAAATTACTTTTCCTTTCTGTCCTTGTATTTACATCTCTCTTTCTCTCTCTCTCTCTCTCTCTCTCTCTCTCTCTCTCTTTATATATATATATATATATATACAGGTATAGGACAAAATAATAGGAACACCTGTGCATAGTGGTACTATGTACAGGTGCTCCTATTATTTTGTCCTATACCTGTATATATGTAATACAAAAATTATAAATATTTTTATATCAATAAAAGCATTAAAACTATTTTCATAAAATGTCTTTGATAAAGAATAGGTGTAGAGATATTCTATTTTGGGACTTACAATTTAAACATACAATTGAATTATAATTAGATTTATACTTCAAAGGAGTTATTTTTAGAATCTCTCCCTCTTTCACTTCCATATTAGGAAGCATTAAATGATTTTCCTTGATGCGTAGAGTTGCAAGGTATGCGACGATTGAGCCTTTTTTCACAAACAACTCTTGTAATAAACTAATTCATATTTGAACCAAAGTGAAATTTCCTCTGAGCACTAAGAACTGTAGGGTCATCGGATGTGACAATCTCGATCCAACATCAGTATTCCCTTAGCGACAAAGATACAGGTAGTGGAAAAGACGGGGTGTGATTTCATCCTCCAGTAATCAGGCGACTTTTTTTTCTTCCCCGGCGTGTGTGATGGGATGGGGGAAAACTTCCACGTAGCAGCCAGTCGGACGATAAGCCTATATTTCAAATGGATAAGCACTGGTTTTCTTCAAAAGGTTTCCTCCGCGAAGCCTTATCCTGCTAGGCTTGTAATAACAGGCTACATCCCTCTTATCACTGGTTACAATTAGCTCAAATAATTCAGTCGTGAACCAATTATTCCCTCATTAGTTTTATTTACGGGTAGGCTGGTGGCTAAAACATTTCACATCCACTCTCCACAAGGGAGGGGGTGGACAAAACTCCGGATGGTTCCGGCGCATCTTACATGGATCACATCATACAGCAAGAGTCACGCAAAAACAATCGCTCCTGCATTAAGTACTAACAGAAAATGAGTGAAAAGGCTCAATCGTCGCATACCTTGTAACCCTACGCATTAAGGAAAATAATTTAATGCTTCCTAATATGGAAGTGAAAGAGGGAATAACTCCTTTGAAATATAAATCTAATTATAATTTAATTGTATGTTTTCAGCCTTGAGTCCCAAAAGAGAATATCTCTACACATATTCCTTACCAAAGACATTTTATGAAAAGAGTTTTAATGCTTTTATTAATACAAAAGTATTTAAATTTTTTGTATGATATATATATATATATATATATATATATATATATATATATATATATATATATATATATATATATATATATATATATATATATATATATATATATATATATATATATATATATATATATNTAATAAACAACTCTTTTATATATATATATATAATGACTAAATATTCTAACTAAATATTCTAACTTACACGAGATCAATTTCAAATATCATATAACAGTTTCAATTTAATTTAACTAATTTTTTTAATCTCAAGTGGCTTATTATTAATTGACATGAAAAATACTTATTTTTACTTTACATGGGAGTACCTAGGTCTTGCGCGAAAGTACTTCTTTCGAAACGAGGGTTGTTATTCACGAATACGAGGCATAAAAACCCAACAATTCGCTTTTTATTACGTTTATAAAAGTATAGAAACATTTAATTGCTATGTCATTATAGCATGCAATTATAGTACCTTTCTTTACATACTGAAGATAAATCTCAGGTGCTTTTTAGTGTCTTGAAACTCACAATTCAGATTTGTGTAATTTATTATGAGAACTTTAGAAATCGAAATTATATCTGACATTCGAATGATGCTTGTATCTCAGAAGGTTATTTTACTTACAGGGGAAACAGTTACCTCATTCATTATTATTTATTTTTCTATTTTTTACACCAAAACCTCAAAAAGATTTATAGTAAACAATTATAATATTTCTTCTTAGTATAGACTATATTTAACGAAAAAATATATCTTTTAGTTAAATAGTATATACTGTATCTAAATGAAAAAAAAAATATTTTAAAAACTATTTCTTCTCACTCTAATTTAATAATATAAGCCATTCTGAAAGCAAATGCCGTGGTTCTTGTTATCTTCTGCACTGTTTACTTTTTTTCTCGTAAACATATGACAAAGTGATTTTTTTTCTCTTCTAACCTCATTCATTATTATTTATTTTTTTATTTTTTACACCAAAAATTCAAAAAGATGTATAATAAAAAATTATTATATTTATTCATAGTATATACTATATTTAACTAAAAATATATAGATTATTTAAATAGTATATACTGTATCTAAATGAAAAAAAAAATTTGAAAGCTAATGCTTCTCACTCTAATTCAATAATAATAGCCATTGTGAAAGCAAATGCCGTAGCTCTTGTTATCAACTGCACTGTTTATTTTTTTTCTCGTAAACATAGGACCCAGTGAGTTTTATTTTCTCTTCTAAGTTTTGCTTTACGATAAAAGTTGTCATGAATCTTGAAAGATAATACTGAATAATGACAAGCCTTATCTTTCAATAAGCTTTAAAAGTAAACTTGCTCGAATTGTAAGAATATTTTTAACAAAGACCAATCTAAAATTTTGTTTGATTTTTTTAAATATTAACATATGACTCTTCATTGATAGTTTAAGACCAATAGTAACCGACCTATCCCCGAAGGAGTTTGCGGATAAGGGTTTCACCCGTTTTCACGTGAACTAAACACTACAAAATTACAGAAAAGTAAAAGTACAAAATTAAAAAGATTGAAACACATAGGAAAAATCCCGAAATCGAAAAAATAAAACAGTATAAAAATTAAAAGTGCTTAAAACATCAAAGTAGATAAAATCAACCGACAATAAAAATGTCAAAAATACAGGTAAAAACATATAAAAGTAAGGTCAGGTAAAACATCAAATGGTAAAATATGAAAAACCACATTAGAAACAAATAAGACTAAAATAAGATTAATAAAATAATTAAAATAGTCGACTAAAAGTTCAAGTGTCTCCCTTTCAAGGCTAAGTGCCTCTAAGATTAAAAATGTTCTAAGGTAAACCAAAGTTTCACTAAAAGGATAAACATAAAAAGATGACACCAGGTAGGACAGAGGGTGCTGAAGTTGACCAAGAGCAAGATTTCATTTCGAATGTCCTATGTATAATGAAGATGCCAGTTCAAGGGGAGTACAAAGTCATGGAAACGGTAAGTGCCGAGGTAAAATATTAAAGGCAGATATTTAAAACCAGAAAACCTAAAAGCCGAAAGTTTAAAAAATAAAACCAGATAAAATTAGTCAGGTGTACTCGCAGGGGCAAGCAGATCATCCAGGGTATATTTAAGAATTTCAATGATTTTCCCCCTGCATTGATAGTTTAAAGGTTTCATAATTAGACATCGATATAAAATGTACAGCAAGCAAACAAATATTCATCCCGAAAACATAATGGATTATTAACGATTCGAATTTCAGGTACTGGAATGCAGACTATTCAATAGAGTTCGATAGTCGCCAACGATTGTGAATTGCTTAGAATTACAGTTGCATAAGAATTATGACAAAGATTGTGAAAAATGCTGTTAAAAATTAGACATTATTTAAATATTTTACATAAAATAATAAACAACTCTTTGAGAGAAAGAGAATAAATAACTGGTTTCTTAAGCAGAACGCAGTAAATTGTACTTTTCTATCTCCTTCCATTTTTGTTTAATTGATTTTTAATATCGTCGGTTTTTTTTGGTGAGCCTTTTATCGTCCCTTATAAACGAAACTTGGAAGTGATAAAATAATAATAATTAACTGAATTATTGATCCTATTATTGAATACGTTAATGATATGGTAACAATGTTTTTTCTTTTTGACATGGCAAATTTACTTTTTTACAATAATTCTAAATCTATGAAAAAAATTTGGTTTTCTTTCACCTACATATCAGAAAGTTGTGAATCATTTTTTACAATTTTTCTTTAATGATACCAAACTTGATATTCTTTAATTATTTTCAAAATGTAATTTAATTTTATTATCATGCCATTTAAACGATTTTTCTCAATTGTTTCTTAAAATCCCTCTCTTTTTATTATTATCTAGTTCAAAATTTTTTTCGTGCAGAAATAATATCACACATTTTAAGAATCCTATTAGCTAGCAATCTTAAATTTAAAAAAAAAATAGTAATAACTAAATAAAAAAATGCATTTTTTTATTCAGTTATTATTTAGTTGCAAAAAAATTGCTCAACTGTTTTCTGAGATATTTTGCTCCTGAAAATTCGCATTTTGTGTAAAATTTGTCAACATAAAACAAGATGTACACAATTAAGTCACATTAACATTTTAAAACATTTAAAAATTTGATCTGCGGGATTAAAAAATGCGCTCATAAAGTTATTAATTACAATGCTATATTTACATCTTTTTTTTTGTTTTTGTTTTCGTTCTTAAAAATAATAAGAGATAGTTTTTGCCTCTAGACTACCCCAATATTCAAAATAAGTCATTTGTAAATAAAAATAATAATTTTCATGAATGCAAATTGGTATCAGTTATTAGTTCAGCACAAAAATTCGTGAAATCTATTGTTAGTTTTTACAATTTCATCAAACAACACGTCAATTACATAAATTTTTTTTTTTGAAAAAAGGAAAAAGAATACTCAAAATATCTAAGCATAAAATGCAATTTCAGCTTGGTTAATGTGTGTCATTAAAAATAAATGTGCATAAAATGAAAATTAACGAGCCCCTTCGAATATGGAAATAGACTTAATAAAAAATTAAGAGACAGTGGGTACTTAGATGCGCTACAAAAACCGTTAATTGCATTTGAAGATATTCCTTCTTTAGCGAATTTACAAGCATGTATGTTGTATTTGGTTTGCTTTCGCTTAGTGTATGGTTAGTTAATCCAACTAATGTACACCGAAATGCATTTACTTTACCAAAAATTGGCTATCGTTTAAATGGTAAAGAGCTAAAAATCAAACATAACATGAAAACAACGTTTCTCTGTGCAAGTGATTGTATTCGTTTACAGGAATGTTCTGCTTATAATTATTTGGAGACAAATGAATCGTGTCAGTTAATAGCTACGGCCAATTTATCGGATTCTGAACCGGATCCAAATTCTAAAGTAGTTTTGAAAAAGGTAAGTTATTAAAAAATAAAATAAGCTTATGACTATAGCAAGACTTGTTTGTTTTCTGAAACAGGCCGTTACTTAAATTGAAATGAGCTGCAAATAAAATGTAATTGCGTTTTATCAAAAAGTGATATTGTTTATTTGAAAAATGTTCTGCTTATAGAACTGCGTTTATAGTTGCTAAATTAATTCTATCTTCTGCTAATCGATCTAATTTAGTGACTGATGAATTGCATCAGTTAGTAGCTACGGTTGAATTGTTGTATTTTGAGCCAAATCCAAATTTAAAATTAGTTTAGAAAGAGATAAGTTATGTATAATCAAATTAATTTGCATATACTACAAAAGGCAATAATTTTTTTTCCTTCAAAAATTGGTTATAGAAATAAACCGAAAATAAACTTTAGATAAAAGCATGAAATATAGCTACATAAATATTATATGCATAAATAGCATATGCATATGCATAAATATAGCTACATAAATATTATATGCATAAATTATTATATTTGTTTTCAAGAAAGTTCTGCTTATTTAGTGGCTAATGAATCGTGTCAGTTAATAGCTACGACCAATTTATCGAATTCTCAACAGTTAATAGCTACGACCAATTTATCGCATTTTGAATAGTTAATAGCTACGACCAATTTATCGAATGCTCATAATTAGCTTTATTTACCTATATAGCCTTAGTTTATTTTGCCAAATCTTTCAGCTTTGTTGATATTAACTTATGAGGATACGGAGTTAGTCTTTGAAAGTTTTCTTTTAAGTTCTAAGCCCATTCAACCAAAAACAGCTAAAGACAACCTTTGAAAGTTTGAGTGCCTTTCCTTAAGAAGCATATAAAAAGGCTAAACACGTTCAGTTTAAATGACAGTTAGGGATTATAAATTTTACCAACTGGATGTTTCCGGATAAGAGAAAAAAGGCCATGCATACATTTTATTTTCTTACACATTCTAATTTTCTTTTTAATGAAAATTGAATTCTTAAAATAATTTTTACTCACCTACACATTTCCGCAAAATGACATGTAATACCATTATAAGCATTACATATTTCCTAGATTTTAAAATTTAATTAATTAAATTTTTAATCATTCTGAATCGTGTTATTAAGTAAACCTATCATTCAATTTTTATCACATTTTATGAAAAGCAAATATAAATTCATTTATTCTTTTCTTAACACTTAATTTAATGGCTTACTTTTTAATTTAATACAAGTGTCATACTCATTAATTCACTGTCGTGATTAAATCAAATATCAAAATCTATTTTTCTTTAAGCAACTTTATTTCTCTAATCACAAAAATATTTCATTTGCAGGGTTATAATAAATTCTAACAATCGTTTTGATGATTAAACTGTAGCCATATTATTTTAAAATCAATAATAAGGCTGTTCTTCAAAGGCTCCATTGTCATATTAGATTATGCTTTTTTGCGAATAATATACTATTCTCATAACTGCTGTGAGTTTACTACAATTACTCATGGCTGGATATATACGAAAAATATACTATTTTCATAACTGCTGTGAGTTTACTACAATTACTCATGGCTGATAAGTTAGCGTATCTTAAGCCAGCTCTGTCAATGCTTATTCTGAAAATGGCACAAAACACCATTACGGAAAAAAGCCACAGTTTTGTGAAGATGAAAAGCATTAGCTGTCTAATTTTTTTATTATTTAAAAACTTACTCCAATGCTGCAATTATCTGGAGTCATAAAAATTTGCAAAATATGAGAATAAGGTAGTGAATTTATTAATTTTTATTTAAGTGAAAAAATGTTGCCTCATTGGCAATTTTTAAAAAAGTTTAGTAACTTTTAAAATAAATATTTAAGTTATTTGCAAGTTTTAAAACCTAGATAATTCTTCGCGGAAAGATAGATATATAATTTCAAATTACCGTTTTGCTTCAAGAGTAAAGCACTTTAACTGTGGTGTTTTAATTTTCCTTGGCGACAGAACTTCGAAAAACCTTATTAATACCGCGGTTTGGCTTTATTTTCGGCTATATTATCTATCGAAAACTCGACAACTTTGGATCTCTTCCCATGCTTCTAAGAGTCAGTTAGCGACTATTCATTCACTTGTAACTTAAAATTCGTGGCATTAGGACATGGGGTTTTTTGGATGACTGATGGCCCAGTCTGATAGCTAAAAGGTTTTACTGTCTTCGTCTCGATAAAGAGATGCTGCTAACTGTTCAAACCAAATGCATGTACCCCAACAACTTTTATAATTATAGGGTGTTCCGTAATGACGACCCTAAAAATGCATTTTTAAAACCTTGTCAAAACTGCATTCATATTAGAAGTCGAAAGTTAATTATTATTTACGCAAAGAAAAATAATAAAAATGCTATGGAAATCCAGCGAATCAGCAGTGAGGAAGGTGAGCTTAAAAATATCAAAACCAGTTTAATTGTGACCAAATATTAACTTGTAAACACTGATAAATATATAGCTTTTAACTATATTACCACTGATAAATAAGGCTTTTTTATAACTTTCAAAAATATATATTCACGGAGCACTATGCGTACCAAAACCATAGAAATTCAGTTGCGAAACAAACAAAGAGCAACTTTAAAACTTCTTAACTCAAAATCGACAAAATTTCGATTGATTCTTTTTTCATTAAATTTTTCAAATGTAAATTTTATTAATTATTTTATCTTATAGTTTGCGAAGTCTTCAAATGACGTTTAACATCTGTGTATTTTATAGCTAACTTGCAACATCAACCCTTGTTTGCAAGGTGGTACGTGTCATGAAGTTCCGACTTCTGTTTATGATGTAAGAGGATACAAATGTTCCTGTCCTTGTGGACGTTGTGGACATAATTGCAATAGATGTAAGAAATTTTTTATTATGTTTCTTAAGAAAACATTGATTTTTTGTATTATTTATATAGTTTCCTACAAACGTTTGACAACAAAGTGAACGACTTATAACAAATAAATAATACGACTTTGGAATATACCAATAAAATGTGTAGATTCTTTAGAGTGGATTCTTTATAGTTAAAATTCAAATACGTGAGTATTCCATAATTCATACTAACTAAACATTTATTTATTTCAATTATTACTACAAAATACTTTTTACAAATAAATTTTACCCAAGTATTTTTCGTGCACAATGCGAAAAAAAATGAACTACTTAGAATAATTTTGGATCCAATGATCGGATCTTCACGTTATAAGATACAGTCTTATTGGTTCGTGGGGGGGGGGCCCTCAAACATGCTAATTCATTAGTGCAAACAATATTTTAAAGTACGAAATCAGACACAAAAACGTACTTTCACTGAATGAACTTGCTTTTTCTTTTGGAAGATTTGAATTTCAAATTTCCAAGATATGGAATGGTAGCAGTAATTTGAGAAATATGATCCCAATAATTTTGTCAGGAGAGCACTCCAAAGTTTGAACCCTTTAATGTTAATTTTACTTTTTGCGCATTTCGCTTTATCTCAGAAACTTTTTAAGCGAATGGAAAAATCTTTGCCTATAATTATAAAAATTGTAATGATTTGTAATAACTATTTAGTAATTTTTTGAAATTTTTTTTTATTTTATTTTTATTTTTTTCGTCATATGCCTGTTTTAGGCAGATAGGGCGCGATTGTTCTTGTTTTTCAGTGGCGCCATCTATGGCCAAGAATTCGACTTCTGCCACACCATTCACACAACCACAATCCCGTTCATAGGGTGGATCACATTCACACACGCAAAGGAGAAAGGACATAGAACACACACAGAGAGAAAGAAACAGAACTTGCCCCGGATTCGAACCCAGGACCTTTCTGATGCAAGGACAGTTTCCTGCTCCCTACACAGGCCGGTCGGCGAAATTTTATTATTAAAAGTAAAAAAATTTTGAATTGTAAGGCATACAATTTTTTATATAATTTTAAAGAATGTAATTTTCCATGACAAAAAAACAAAATTTAGCGAAATTGGTCAAATAATTCCTGAGAAATCGAACTTTAAGTATCAGACTTTTTTGAAATTCAATACCTTTTAAGTATCTGAATTTTTTGAAACTCAATTTTTCAGGAACTATTTGACTGATTGATGGTATAAAATTTTTTATATCATTTTAAAGAATGTAATTTTTTATGGCAAAAAAAAAAAAGAAAAATTTTGCGAAATTGGTCGAATAATTCCTGAGAAATCGAACTTTAAGTATCAGACTTTTTTGAAATTCAATACCTTTTAAGTATCTGAATTTTTTGAAACTCAATTTTTCAGGAACTATTTCACTGATTGATGGTATAAAATTTTTTATATCATTTTAAAAAATGTAATTTTATGTAGCAAAAAAAAAAGAAAAATTTTGCGAAATTGGTCGAATAATTCCTGAGAAATTGAATTTTAATTATCTGACTTTTTTGAAATTCAATTTCTCAGGAACTATTTGACAGATTTCGCTCAAATTTTTTATTTTTCGATGTAAATCTGCATTCTTTAGAATGATGAAGTAAAATTTTATACTTTATAATTCAAAGTTTTATCGACTATTATTAAATAAAATTATAAAAAATACTAAATGATTATTAAAAGTTACTTTCACATGGAATTATCTTTGGATAAGCAAATTTTATAATAGTGTGCAAAAATTTTCTAATTTAACTATCGGGACCATATGTGTCCCAAATTGCTGCTACCAATATATTTTGGTGGTTAGAAGTCTATATTCGTCGAATGAAAGGTATGTTAATTCAGAGAAAGTAATTTTAACAGTACGTTAAAAGAGATATTCAGTTAAACTTGTTTTTTTTTTTTTTTTTTTTTTTTTTTTTTTTTTTTTTTTTTGCTCATTTTACCGGTTTTGCCTTCCTTCCAGGTATTTCCGAATTTAAAGAGAATACACCGGTTTGATACTTTAAAAAAGATTTATTTTATTTATTAATTGGTATAAAAAGTATTTTTATTTATTTATTTTGGAAATATTTTCAATAAATGTCTAGCAAAAATTTCTTACTAAAATACTGATTTTATCCGATTTTACTACCTGGATACATTTTAACAGGTTAGAAATTTTGAATAATAGGAAACCAGTTAGATATTTTGGCAGGAAACACTATCTTTGTTTTTTTTTAATTTTTTATTTTCATTGGATTAACGTTTCGCCCCCTGATGGTTCTGCTAATAAAAAACAGTGCTTAATACTGTAAGCTTTCCTTTATAGCAAGCCATTTTCATTCGTATTATTCATTAGAGAAACTGTGCATGGGGGGGGGGACATTCGCGATTTTGAGAAAGTTCCAGAAGGCTAATATGAACTAAAACTCCCATCTGATATATAAAATCATTACAATGATATAAAAATAACTGGCACAGTCGCAATCGTTATAGAATCTCTTATTGCTGTAACCTAAAAAAAATTTATCTTAAAAAGATTTAATTAGGTTGTTACAAAAATTATGCAACACCCTTGCAGCATCCCTTACTGAAAGATCTTTTTTATAGCAGTGACGAATCAAAACATAAAGTTCAATTTTATCCAAAGTCATTTAAAGCTTCTTTATGAAAGTTTAAACTAGGAACACCAAAAAAAACAATAACACAAAATGAAAATTAGTAAAAGTTGAAATTTTCGCAAGTGCTGCTGAACTTTTTTAACAACCTAACATTAACCTCGCCACACGTATTTCTGAGGAACAATGTAAATAGTCATAGTTTTCTTTAGTATTTAGAACTATATTTTCCAAATTGTAATAATTTTCTCATAAACAATTAAAATCGAATTATTTAAAAACCATTCATGTGACCTCAAAATAAACAAAATATTTGAACTCAGCATCTTTAAATCTATAATATATATATATATATATATATTTTTTTAATAAAAAAATTTTTTAAACTTGTTGCCATTTCCTATTTTTGTCTGTTAGCAACGCCATCAATTTAAAAATATTACACTTATTTTTGTAAGATGAAAAGTTAATGTAGTTTTTGAAGCATAGCGAGGATTTTTAAAATCATGATCAATTTTGGGGTACTGAATATTTCTACCACTTTTAACTCTTTATCCTTGATGTCGATTTAACTGTTAAAAAAATGGACGCAACCATTAAGAAGATAAAACTCAGAATTTACACGCGTACTATATAACACCTGGAACATACATGCCAACTCTTCCAGATTATACGGAAGATTTATTTTAATATTTAATATGACAGCAAAATTAATACATTTACACTTTATTCTTGTTTGAATAAATGTGATTTAAAATTATTTTGACTTACATTATATTTAAATATTTTGCCGGCCAGGTGACCGAGCGGTTAGCGTGCCTGGCTGCGGGTTCGAATCCCGCTCTGGGCATGGATGTTTCTCCCTCTCTTTGTGCTGTCCTCTGTTGTGTGTATATAAGATGCGTGAATGTGGCCCACCCTATAAACGGGTTTGTGGCAGTGTGGCGTGGACAATGTTGCTCGCCTCCGTGACTTTGGTTCACAGGTGCCCACTGGGTAACGCGAAATGAGCAGCAATTCTGGCATAGTATAGGCAAAGATTCAAATTCAGTGCCTGCCATTGGGAAAAAAATAATATTTAAAATGTATTTATAGTAGAGCTGGTTCTCTGAAAATGTGTTAAGTGTCGACTATATTTTAATAAAACACAATCTTATTATGGCCCTATTGCTTGGCTCTATTTCCCTATTGCTTGAAAAAAAAATTCGGAGAAAGAGTAAAGGCTAGTAGGTATGCTATTAATAAAGTTGTCACTGAGTATTGAGACATGAAAATTTTAACATTTAAAATGTAGGTAATTTATCTATAGGTGTCAGTGGTGCCTCTCAGGCACTTTCTGAGAGCAAACGGTTAATATCTGCAATACTTATGTGCTTCATAATTTTTTTTTCCAGTGCATTTTGGACAAGTTGAAGACGCTTGTATATATCTCTTCAATGCCGGTTACAAGAAAGTTGAAAGTCAGGAAGAATGTATGTCATTTTGTTGGGATACACAAGGTTGTAGATCTGCTGATTACATAAGTAGTGAAGGAGCTTGTTGGCTGAATTCAGTTACAGGAGACGAAGAACCTTTGACTATGGATTGTGATAAGTGGTATCCAGGTGTAGCTTATCTCTTTTTCAATTGCACTTGTGATCCTTCGGATTAATAAAGCAAAAACTTCTGATCGGATATTTATACATTGTAGTAGCGATCTGAATCAGTTGATTTGAATTACTGATGATTTAGTTCGTTGTTGAAATCCTCTGATTTATTTAAAATGGATGTCATTGATTTAAATCAATTTAAAAAAAATGTATTGATTGTTATTAAATGAATATATTTATTGAACCTCAAAAAGTGATTTCATTTTTAATGCCAATTTACAACGAGAGAATATCCAGAATTACATACATATATTTTAGAATATATTGATTGTTGTTAAATAAATATATCTCTTACGGCTCAAAATGATTGATTGTTATTAACTAAATATATTTATTTAGCCTCAAAAAGTTATTTTATTTTTAATGCGTATTTACAAAGATAGAACATCTAGAACTACATACATATATTTGAGAATATATTGAAGCATATCAGATTTTATGGATTACTTTTTATACAATGAATGTTTAATTCATAAAAGCAATTTTAAATATTATACTGAAAAATGCATACAAGACATTAAATATGCAGATTTTGGGTAACTTCCTTTGAAAAATTTTAATTATATATTACGTGCTTAATTTTGAATGCTTGTTAATCTTTTCAGGCCTAGTTTACTTAAAAATAGTACGACCGAGAAAAATTTTTAAGGTTTTGGCAAGGTTTGGAGCATGCTTCAACGTATTTGTATGTCCTAAAATTATTGATAACTCTTTACAGTTCGATGTTCCTTCTGACTGGACATAAAAAGTTACAGTTCCATAATTTAAAATCTTCATTTCTTAAAATTTAGTAACTATATATAATTTTATGATTGCTAGTTATTATATAAATATTGTATTATACATCTTAAACGATTGAGTGCCTCAATTTAAAGGAATGCCGACTTGCTCCAAAAGGAAACTTTTTTTGCAGTGGTAGCAGAATTTATGTTATAATGTATGATTATTGATTAAGAAAATTTTTTATTTAAAGTTTCATACAGGTAGCAAGTTCACCAATGCGATCATTGATCACAAATTCTAAGCCAAGATATATATTAAATAACTAATAACAAGCACTGATTGACAATCAATGATACTTCTATCCACCTGAAACCGAGCTAGAAATAGTTATACTACAAACACAGTTGGTATCCTTGTTTTTATCTATGATTTTAAATGAAACACGTGAGGATATATATTTAATACATAATAATAAGAAATGGTAATCAAAAAATACTTTAATCATGCTACAAACAAGCTAGAAATGAAATGGGTTTACCACAAACAGACCAGGTTAGCCCTTTGTCATTCTAAAAAAAGAAGGTGATTTAAGAATAATCTTATCAATATTTATTTCAATTAATATTAAAACCTGTTAATACACTGAGGTGATAACTGTTCCGACATTTTCAAAAGTTTCTATAAGAGGTAGATACTTAAAAATTGAAATTCGTAGAAAATTAATAAATATCTGGAATAGCTCATCACGGAAAAACTTTCAAAAAGAAGCATTTTATATAAATTTTTCAGTTATTTTTACGTAGTAGTGGGCAGAATAATTTCAAATTAAATTTAATAAATCAAGTATCACACAATAAAGTATAAATTTTGTTACTACCAGAAAAATATTGCATATAAAGCAAAATAAGTTGACATCCTAAAATACATAAATGTACGTCATTTTCTCCACTTTTATTGTTGTTGTTGTTCATTTACGTCGCACTAGAGCTGAACAATGGGCTATTGGCGACGGTTTTAAAAGTTTTAAAAGGGAATTTTTCTGGAATGGCAAAGCAGTAATAAATTATAAATTTTTGACTTGCAGCCATTTTGAACTCTAAGACACTAACGCATTAATTAAGACCTTCGTTGCTTGTGCCGTATGTTGCCGGCATCCTTGCGATGACCTGTTTATACGAGCTCTTTAATTTGAAGGCATCAGCGTGAAACGGTTTGCTTGATTTCGCTTTCAGGTCGTCGAGCTACAAATGCGGGGGATCGAGCCATCCTTTCAGCAGAAAATCAAAATTTTGATGGCATAGCTTCGGATCATTCTTCGAAATGCTTTTCAGACGGTCACCAATAACCCTTTGTGCAGCTCTAGTTATACAAAAATAAAATACTAGTACAACTTGCTAGATTAAGGGGAATTCACGCCGAATGCAAATCTTTTCGTTCCCCTCCGCAGAGGATCAAAATTGTGTTGGCATGTCTTCGGATCATCCTCCGGGATGCTTCCCAGACCGTCGCCAATAGCCCATTGTGCTGCTCTAGTGCGACGTAAATTAGCAACAGTAAATCTTTTCGCATCTGAATGAGAACCTGATTAGGAGAAAATATTTACCAGCGAAAAACTGACCAATCAGGCTCGCATTATTATGCGAAAAAAAAATCGCATTCGGTGTGAATGTGCCCTGTAACCACGAAGCAAATCACTTTATCCTAAGGGCCAATCTTACTGAATGCGGTTCACGGGCATCCATCCAGTAAGGAGAAAAATATAAAACTTGATTGGCGAATTTTTCGCGGGATAATAGTGCTCTCCAATCTGATTTCTCCTTTTTCAGGCGTGATCTCAATTTAGTGAGAATAACTCTTTTATTTTACTCTCACTCGCAAACACGTAAGTTTTGACGCATTGACGATTTTGCATTACCTAACAAAAAATCTACATCTCAATTTATAGATTATTAGATTTCTATTCGAAAACTACTGTTTAAGTATCAAAATTAAGAGAACATTTCAAAATTTCCGAAAACTTTCCAAATTCCCTAGCAACCCACCCAATTGATTTCTAGCAAACTTCGTAGCGCTTCGCACTTGTTACCTATGGGATTGATTATATTGATGGGTGTTTGACTCAGAGAGTGCTTGTTTTGTTTTGAACATTGCAGTGAATCTGAAATGAATGTAGCAACCGATGTAAACTCTAAAGTAAGTATGACTAATTCGAAATATTTCCAGTAAATATATATACATACGCAATAAAAATATTACTTTTTTCCATTATAATTTTTGTAATTTAGTACAGTGCTGCATCTAAAGAAATTATGTAATTTGTTTTCGTTTTTAACTACACCATGTGTCTCATTTTGTGATTAATCTAAAGTGAGTACCTGTAAGTATTTTAGAAAAAAAACCCGAATTATATTTTATGTAATTAGTTTATATTTGATGAAAGATTTTTATTACATTTTAATAACAAGTTGACTTAAGACGAATTTGAATTCTGGATGAAATTATGAATGTAATAAAAGAAGTTTAAAATTCTGAGATTTACAATCATTAATTATCATTTGTATATATGGAATATATATCTGTTCTCCTTGATCTGAAAGCGGTTTCATTCTAATTCACTATAATAATTGTTCTCTCAATAATTTTGTAGTTGTTAAGACGAAATTGAATTCTGGATGAAATTGTAAATGTAATAAAAGACATTTAAAATTCTGAGATTTAAAATCATTACTTATCATTCGTATATATGGTATGTATTTCTGTTCTCTTTGATTTTTATTCCAATTCTGATTCACTATAAAAAATTTTCTCTGGATCTTTTTAGTTGTTCTGTTTTATAAATTCAGTGAGTTGTTAATTGATGATACGTGAACTGTAAAGATCGCTATTTATCTATTAGTTGCAGTTATGGTAGGGGTGCACAACCTGCGGCCCGCGGGCCAAATGCGGCCCTTCGACTAATGAAGTGCGGCCCGCGAGAGCTTCTAAACACAATAAAAAAAAATTTAAAAATGGCAATTTTTAATCACACTTTTAAATCATCACGTTTTGATCCAATCAATTTTAACAGATTCTTTAGTAAATGTACGTTTAATGCGCTTTCTTTAAGTCGATTTTATCGTAAATATAAATGATTTTTTTTAAACAGTTATTTCCGCTTTTCTGCGTGATTTCGAAAATCCCGAATTTTTATTACGACGCGAGTTTCAGATCGCATAATCGCTTTTTGTGCACTTTATTTATGACGATTTCATCTTAAATCTAAGTGATTTTTTATCTTTTTTTTGCAATTCTTTCTCTTTTTTTCAACATTTTTTTCGGCAGTTATTGCTATGCATTCCCACGTATTATAAAAATTCCAATTATTCTATTACGACATGCAAATTTTAAATCATGCATTTAACACGCTTTATTCGTGCTGAATTCAGCATAAATATATTTTTTCCCAATTATTTCTATACTTTCCCAATGATTTGGACGATCCCGTTATTTAACTATGATGTTATTACGACACGTGATTGTTAATCGCGCAATTGAATAATCACTTTTTGATACGGTATTTCGGTACAGTTTTATCATAAATCCTAGTTATTTTTTCTTCACTTTTATTTCCACAACGAATATGATTTGGTCGAATGTGGTAATGAATTGTGATTTGATCAAAAACCAAGTATTCGGCAAAAAAAAGAAGAAGAAAAAATCGACTGAACGCCGTACACTTGGGGCCAAATAGCAAAATCGTTTAGCAGTATAGCAACACTGAAACAAAATTTCAATACTCAGAATAATATTTCCTGGAAAAACGTATTCATAAATTAACTCTAACAAATAAGGCCAATCAAGAACGTTTTTTAAAATGTCGAAAAGCGAAACAGAGAACATAAAAATCAATCTTAATTTTTGAAAAAAATTTTTAAAGCTGAACATCTCAGTTTTTCAATTACCAGAAAAAGCCAAGAAAAAAGAATTAAGTCAACAGAAATGCTATTAAAAATTCCTACGTTATAATGAAAACGCCTAAAAAAAGTTTTTTTTCATTTAAAGAAAATAAAAAGATAGAAAAAGAGGTTCTTAACTTTTTAAATGAAAATCTTATGCCGAAAATCTCAATTTAAATTTTTCTCATTGCCATAATTTTAGAAAAAAAAAAATTGCTCTAAAATAAATTTTATTAGTAACTTTATTTTAAAAAAAAATGCTGAGTCTTAATAAAAATGCCTAAAAGAAAAACAGAAAAAACAAATATTTCTTAGTTCCTGAAACAAAACTTTAATACTGAAAATCACACTTTTCTATGTTACTGGTTATTTATATTACAGTACAAGGAAAGAGTGATAATAAATTAATAGTATGAAACATTCTGTTAAAATGCTGGGTTATAATAAAAACAGCAAGAAATGGAAAAAAATCCTTCTCAATTCTCAAAGTATCGAAAAAATGACAAAATTGACTTGTCTGATTATAATTTTAAAAAAATAATAATAATAATATCTATAAAAATTCAGAAATAAAAAAAACTTAGAAAAATACATTTCTAAAAAATATTCTGCCGAATATTTGACTGATCATTCAACCAACTGAATTTTTCACAGAAGGGCCAAGTACTCGTTACATCCCTCCCTAATTTAAATGCAATGTTATTGCAACTTGAGAAATTCATAAAATGGCGGAAAACGTGAATTTTTAAACTGCTCACTGTTTGTAGTTTAGATTTCAATTTTTTGTTGCTTAAGTGATCTTTTTCGATAAAAAAAAGGAAAATGTTTACGATATAAAAAATCTAATAATTAATAAAATAAAATAATAAAGTACATTACAAAATAAGCATTGAATTTTATTTTGAACTATCACAGTTTTGTTTTTATTTTAGGCTTTTGTTTAAAACCTATAAATTTTCTTCAATTAAAATATTTAATTTGAATTTATATTACTTAATTACGACTAAACTTTTTCCTACTTTCATTCTGTGGGCATTGCAGTTTTTTTTAATTTATTAGAATTTAATTCTAAAATGAGTTTTCATATTGCATGATATGATAAAAAAAAAAATTTCTTTTCTTCAATGTTTATTTATTTTGATAAATCTATTGTTCATATGATAAAAATAGCAATTTTTTTTTGTAGAAAAAAAAAAGTATAAGTTTTTTTATTTTTGAATGAATTCTAATAATGGAACACTACTAAGTTATTGATATGACTAAGTTTATTGATAAAAAAAATGGAACGCTAATGTTTAAATAAACATTACTACATTTGTCATTAACATCTCCAAATACATGTGCGGCCCTTCGTTAGCCAACCTGCTGTGCAAGTGGCCCTTCACTCAAAAAGGTTGTGCACCCCTAAGTTATGGTTTAATATTGTCTGGTTTACTTACCTTTTCGGTGAGCTCGATAAGAAAGTATATGGGCTGCGGGGAGCTCTTTCTATGACTGAAGGAGGGAACTACTGACCGCAAAAACAAGCTAGGTAACAAGTGTGAAATAATTTTATTCTCCAACTCATTTTCTTAACTGCATTTTCTGACCTCTTCGAGCACCATAGTTAGGGATAATACGAGGGCTACTAGAAGAGTTTATCTGCACTTTTGTATAACTTGAAATTAAAAGTGCAAGGTGAGACTAGCAAAGTTATGTGTCCCTGAAAGATACTAAGGATTTTTAAAGAACCAGATTTATACTATAGATGAAATTAGAATCTTTTAGTACAAAAGAAATGTTTGTATTTCAAACATGGCTTACATTTCTTTTTAAATCAGAAAGTTTTTGCAATTAGAAAATAATCTATTTAATGATATCAAGTAGATATTGTTATATCCATTTTCATTTAAAACATCAAACTGAACCGCTGTCTTAGAATGAATTTGAAGTTTTATGTAAGCATTTACTAAATGCATGGATTATTTTCTGAAGAGCTATGGTGGTTCATCTGAAGTTTGTGGAACAGTTAAGTTTGATCCACTTAAAAAAAGTTCATTCTGTTTATCATCAATTAACAGATTTGTGAGAAATGAGTTATATTGTTGTGATCATCCGTACCAGAAACAACCTTTGGGTTGCTATCATGAGTTTTAAAAAAATTACAACAGCTAAGTGAGATTTCTCAACATTATAAGAGAACACAAATAGGCTTTAAAGAAATTTATTTCCTTAATTATTATACAATTGAAAATATTTTTAATACATTAAATATTTTTGCATCATCACATTGAAATATTCTGTCTTACTTTTTCATCAGGTTATTTTTACCTATTTTATCTATCTAATTTAAGGTAATAATTATTCAGGTACACTCAGAACTAATAACAATGCAAAATACATTCAAATTATAGGAAAATAATGCAGCTCTAAACTATCAATTCATATAATTAAAGATTAAAAGTGCTAAATGTAATCAAATCACAGAAGTAAAAGGGGAAAAAAACTAATTTTAATCTGATAATTTAGATAAAATGCAAAATACATCCACATTACTTAAAACAGGAAAATAAAAAAAAAGGTATTTATAAATAAAAAATTCAGTTAAGATTGAAAATATCTCCAAATTGCTGAAGTACGAGAGTGGAGGGACAAAAAAAAGCATTTATTATGTAGTAGTTCAGTTAACATGCATCCAAATCACGAAATATGAAAAAAAATAAATAAATAAACGAGACAGTTCTAAACTAATAGTTCAGTTAAAAGGAAAAATAATCCAAATGGCAGAAGTACGAGAGTGGAGGGACAAAAAAAGCATTTCTAATAAAGTAGTTCAGTTAACATGCATCCAAATAACGAAATATGAAAAAATAAATAAATAAACGAAACAGTTCTAAACTAATATAATTCAGTTAAAAGGAAAAATAATCCGAATTGCTGAATTACGAGAGTGGAGGGACAAAAACAGTATTTCTAATATTGTAGTTCAGTTAAAATGCAAAATGCATCCAATTCACGGAATATGAAAACAATAAATAAACAGACAAAACAGTTCTAAACTAATTGTTCAGTTAAAAGGAAAAATAATCCAAATGGCCGAAGTACAAGAGTGGAGGGACAAAAAAATCATTTCTAATATAGTAGTTCATTTAAAAAAAAATAAATGAAACAGTTCTAAACTAATAGTTCAGTTAAAAGAAAAAAATAATTCGAATTGCTGAATTACGAGAGTAGAGGGACAAAAACAGCATTTCTAATACAGTTTGTTCAGTTAAAATGCAAAATAAAATCCAATTCACGAAATATGAAGAAAAAAAAAAAAAAGAAACAGTTCTAAACTAATTGTTAAGTTAAAAGGAAAAATACGAGGCCTGTCTAAAAAGTATCCGACCTTAATTTTTCCTGCGCAAAGTAGTGACTTAAAGGCGGCGCCTTAGTGCACAGTGGAAGGTGGAACCTTAATGCACATGACTGAATTTTTTCACCATGTTCACTTGTGCAACTCGCTGGCTGTTGGTCGCCAAGTAAGGTGCTGTTCGTAGTGTTCGTCGGATTTAGTTTTCTCGCAAGATGACTGAACGAATTGAGCAAAGATACTGCATGAAATTCTGTCAAAAGCTTGGTGATTCTCAAAGCCAAACAATTCATAAGATTCTGCAGGTGTTTGGAGAAGAAGCGATGGGTGTGACACAAATTAAGGAGTGGTTCAACCGATTCAAATATGGCCGCACATCAGCGGAGAGTGAGCAACGTTGTGGCAGGCCTCAAATTGCTCAGAGTGCAGTTAATGTTGAGAGGTTGCGAAATTTGGTGATGGCAGTGCGGGAGATTGCAGAAGAGGTTGGAGTGAGTAAAGATTCTGCACATGCAATTTTGCGTGAAGATTTGAACATGAACCGAGTGGCTGCAAAATTCGTACCCAAGTTGTTGTCGCCGGAACAAAAAACACGCCTCTGCACATTCATCCCAATTGATCCACACTTTCTTAGCCAAACATGGAATTACAACCATTCGCCAACCTCTCTACTCTCTAGACCTGTCTCCTTGCGACTTCTGGTTGTATCCAAAATTGAAGACGTCACTGAAAGCATCCAGTTTTGAGAGTAGAGAAGAGATAATGCTGAACGCGACGACGGAGCTGAACACCATTCCAAAAGAAGACTTCCAGAGGTGTTTCCAGCAGTGGAAGGATCGGTGGGCTAAGTGTGTGCAAGCACAAGGGGCCTACTTTGAAGGGGATTAGGGTCCCAACTCCGTCAGGTATTCGAAATATTTTTTCCGGCCAAAGGGCGGATACTTTTTAGACAGGCCTTGTATTCCAAATGGCAGAAGTACGAGAGTGGAGGGACAAAAAAAGCATTTCTAATATAGTAGTTCAGTTAAAATGCATCCAAATCACGAAATATGAAGGAAAAAAAAAATAAACGAAACAGTTCTAAACTAATAGTTCAGTTAAAAAGAAAAGTGATTCAAATTGCTGAATTACGAGAGTGGAGGGACAAAAAAACCCATTTCTAATATAGTAGTTCAGTTAAAATGCAAAATGCATCCAAATCACGAAATATGAAAAAAAAAAAAAATAATAATAATAAACGAAACAGTTCTAAACTAATAGTTCAGTTAAAAGGAGAAATGATCCAAAAGGCAGAAGTACAAAGAAAAAGAAGCATAGTTCGAAACATTTCAGCTAAAATAGAAAAAAATTTCTTATCAAATTGCTGTAGTGTGAATAATGAAGGGGAGGTGAGAAAAAATGGAATTCTTTTCGAATAATTCAGTGCAATATATATTTCGTCTGTATTTGTTTCGTTACATCCGTCTCCATAAGCATTTAATTTTTATTTGTCCATTTTAAAATGGAAGATCTTTTCTGAAGTGTTTCTCCAATGTATATTCATTTATAAAATAATGAACTTAAACGTGTTGGGATCTTGATCCCATGCTCTGAGGGAGATTCTATGGTTTTGAGGGGGGTGGGAGATGTACTGTTCATGGTTTTGAGGGGGGTGGGAGATGTACTGTTCAGTCTGGTTCTGAACAATAGGCCAATAAGGGAAACAAAATAAGAGAAATAAAGGTTGAAGGAAATTAAAAATGGTGGGATTCGAAAATTTTTTTCCAAAAATTTGGCATATTTGCACATTTTGAAATTTGTTTAGAGAATGGACAAATTTCTAGTGGTAACAATTTTATAATGCTTGAAAAAAAAAGCAAGCTAATAGAAGGTAAAATATTTTCAAATTTTGTAAATATGTAGTAAATAAATATATATTATTAAGTTAAAATTCCTTAATTTTTTAATGTTGATGTTGGCCTTTTTAAAAATTACCATTGAAATTTTCATAAATTATGAGAAAGATTAAATGTAAAAATCTAAAAGTAGGTTTAAAAAACTAAATATATTAAAATTATTAAATATTTTTATTATCATTCTAGCTTTTAATTCAAAGTCACTCTGCTCTGAAAATGTCTGCTCATAAGCATGTGAAAAGCATTCATTTCTCAACTTTTTAAAAATTTTCCTCCAATTGATTGTTAGAAAAATCACATGTATGCAACAATTAATTTTTCTGTAAATAGCCAATATGAGAGAATTTTGCTGTTATATGATTTTAAAAACATTATTTTCTATTTACAGACATTACTTCCTGTCCTGATTCCCGTCTCTGAATGAAGAAATTTTATGTGATAATAGAAAATATGTGTTTTTAATTAAAAAATTTCTGTGTCAAAGTTCTTTTTTAAAATTACCAGAAAGCAAGTAATTATGAAGTTTAATATGTCTTCTAATAATGACTGTCTTATTTGACTGTATTAAGCAGGTGGTGGTATAGGAGGGACAGCAATTTTAACACTTTATTATACATTGCCTTATTGTTATAAAATAACAACTGTTAAAGATTAAAATGTCATTTTTACAACTGTTACATTCTTGCAACATATTATGAAATATCGAAAGAAGTATGTGATCTGGCAGATATTTTTTTTATTAATTGTATTTTATAAATCAAGAAGTTATTTTTAAAAATAGTAAAATTTTTTAGATAGACTTGTAGTCAAATTCCAAATTTTATAATATTAAAATTTTAACTAATAGGTAATCCTTATTATTGCAAAGACTTCTTTACTTAACTAAATATAAATATGCTATTAGAAAATAAGACATGGGTTTATATTGTTTACTCAGAAAAACAAGCACATTTATAATTTTTGAATCATAGTTAATTTGAAAATTAAAAATTTATTAATAGTTATTATTCTTACAGCTGAAACATTGCTTCAAGTTAAGAAAAAATATTTTTTTTAAAAATACAGGCTAATGTTAATGAAACTAATTTTTGATTCCCTGTCAAATTGTATACACATTACTTTAAACATGAAATATCTTTTAATGTGAACTTGAATTTCATTACCCTTAAAAAGATTTTTTACTTGTGAACATAAAATTTAGTTCCTTTCTGACTGGTAAAAAAACTGATCATTAACAGTGCTATAGCTATGAGAGTAGATTTTTTTAATGCTTTGTTAAAGTGTTGATAATTGCAACATTACAGCTGTCAAATGAAGGATTTGTATGAATTGAATCTGTTTCAGTCAGGGCCGGATTAAGCGTACACGGAGCCCTTAGCCATTCAAATTTTTGGGGCCCTTAGATTCAATTTTTTTTCTCGTATATTTTTTATTTATTCAAATGTGTTGTGTCCAATCCTTCAGGATCTAGCGACAGCTAGATCAAATCCATAAGACCGTGAACTCCAGCAAAGTTAAGCACCAGAAGTGGGCTATCACGGATGTCCGCAAGAGCGAGCCCCAAGCAATCGGGGGAGACCGGCATCAGATGGCACTTGGTGCAGGTTGGGAAGACTTTGCGGCCACATTCAATGGTCATGCATTTTAGGTGCCCACTGATATGGTCTTTTTCTACAGAACCAGGGATGGGCAGGTGGGGAGAGCCAGACCTGCTGGTCTCTATTTTTCGTCACTGAGAAAATTTCTTGAAAAGTGAGGTCATAGTCGGTAGTTGCTATCTCAGAGCAGCCTCTTTTAGCCAAGATATCCGCAACTTTGTTTCCAGGGACATTGACGTGAGAGGGGATCCACTGAACGTGGTCCTCCCTACGATTTGCTAGAATTTTGAGCATATTGAATATTTGAATGCCTACGAGGTCTTTTACTCGACTCCAGTCCTGTAGATGTTGAATCGAGCTGCGGCTATCTGTGAGAATCCAAATATCGCTAGAGTCAGTGGAGTGGAAGATGGTTTTTAAACCCTCCTCAATAGCTACTAATTCACTCCTAAGTACCGAGCAGTTATCTGAGTTTCGTCTAGAGAGTGGAACAGAAATATTCTCGATATAGATATCGCTTCCAGTGTGATTTGACTCGTCTTTACTGCCATCTGTATATTTAAAGTGGCATCACTCGGGATACAATTTATAACCTTGAGAGCCAGCTGTCGTAGGTATTCAGGGACATCTGAGTTTTTGTTTGTTTGAAACAGAAGTTCAGGGTGGAAGTGAACTCCGTATAGTCCCTCAATCGGGCTTACACAAGGTGTAAGAGATGAATACTCCACCGATTGGGAAATAATCTTCATTTTATCGACCAGACCAAATGGGCTTTTCCTTTTTAGTCTCTGGTTGTTGCTCCAGTTAGACAGATATTCAGAGGTTCGGCTCTGATTTTCATAACTTTTTAATTTGTTGAAATATTTTATCAAATTTGAGTTTCTTACATGATTAAGAGGTGGAAGATTAGCCTCGTACAGTACTATATCGTTTGGGCAGCTGTTTTTCAGGCCCCTTATAATGCGAGCCACGCTCAATTGCACTCTTTCTAAATCATGGAGGTTAGATGGTGAGACACAGAAGTAGACTGGGAACCCATACTCTAGGATAGGCCTAATAAGTGCAATATATGTTGTCCTGAGCGTTTTAACATCGGCGCCCCTGTCTCTACCAGAGATGTGCTTGAGAAGATTTAGTCTCTTGCAGCTCTTGTTGACCAGATTTAGAATGTGCCCGTTTGCTCGTGATCTCCTGATCCAAGACGAAGCCCAAGTACTTTGGATGTTTAATGTGGGAAAGAGGCTGGTCCTGGAATAAAACCTGGGGGTGATACGAGTACAGGTGTTTATTGGTCGTAAAGAAACCAACATATGCATTTTACTCAAATATACATTTATTCAAATACATTTTATTCAAATATAAAAGTATTTGTATATCTTTTCATTTAAGAAAGCACATTTAAAATAAAAATAAATAATGATAAACTAAATTTTACTTTATTTTGTTAAATTAGAACTAAAAAAATTATTGTATTTTATTAATATATATTTAAAATTGATTTTTTTTAAATCATTGTTTTTCTTAATTTTTTAAAATTTATTTTCAAAAATTTTTTTTTTAGGGGGCCCTANGGGGGCCCCTAATCATTGGGGGCCCCAGGCCATGACCTAGTCTGGCCTAATGGAACAAAATAAACCCTTTTCTATTTTAATATGAATAAGAGTTTTCTTTTGCTTTTTGGGGGTGTGAATGAAAAGTAAGATGTTTTTATGAGGAATAACCACCCATAGTTATCCTTTGTTCAATATGGGTAGCTATTTCTCCCACACATTGATCGTTATAAGAAAGTGATATTGCTGAATTCTTAGTGGATACTTTGGTTAATCTTATGGATGCTTATGAAACAATTAAAACTGTTCATTTTTTTGTAAAGCAAAATAAAAATTCCAATAATTTTGATTAGTTAGAAGACTTTTAAATGCATGTGCGATTAAGATACTAAAAGGGCAAGCTATTGCTGATCATTTTGTTAGTAATCTTCTCTAATTTATGCAATTAATCAGTTTACTCCTATTATTTAGTTACTTTTCAGTAATATTTTTATTTGTTTTTGCTGAATTAAAAAATAAATTGAGCACTGAAAGAAAGTACTTTTTTTTAAATGTGTCTGAACTTAGCTTTTTTCTTCCTTTATAACTTTATTTTATTTTTTAAAGTACTTGTTTGTATTTCTTATAAGATGTATAAAAGTTATTAATGTAATAGGAATAATAATGTAAATAAAATCATTAAAATGAAATATGTATATTAATTTACATATTCATAGTAGAAATTTAAGTTCAGAAAGCACAATTATATAACAGTTATGGATAATAAAAAATGCCTGTGTATTATAAAATTTTCACAAAAAAAAAATTCTGAACAGATAGTGTGAACTACTTTTAATGAGATAAAATTTTTTTGTCCCCCTTTTAGTTGACATTAACAAGGTTTGACTGTATCCATATTTTATTTAATTAACTGAAAAAAAGTTTTTTCTATTTTAGCAAAAACTTTTATTCTATACTTGCTAACTTCTAAGCTATACCATTTTATGTCAAATCTATGCAAGTTTTTGCTGAACCATTATATAGTTTTTTTTTCAATTGTTCAATCAAGTTCTTAAAAAATTCTCATGCAATTTTCATTTAGTATGATAGGATTATGCATAAGCAATATGTAATTTTCTTTCTTGAAAGCTCAAAATCTTGACTTGATATCACTATTGGTAATACAATTATTTCAAAATAATTTGAAAATGTGTATCAAAAACATTTTAATATAATCCTATTTTCTATGAACACAAATATGGATTTTGAAACAATTTATTTGAAAGATAAAAATTTTTGATTCTTAATTCAACATTAGTTTTTATTAATTAAAATAGCGTAAGTAAAAATTGCAAACTTAGATTGTTGAAGCATAGGACCATTCACTTATTGTAGCACCACTGCAGCATTCATTATTTCAAACTTATTAGGAATTTCTTCATTTTATGAAACAAAAACGAAAAAGGCTTCAACAATTTTACCATGTCAAATTGTTGTGGTAAGGAATTCTGGGCTTATAATTTTCTGCAATTTATTTAAAAATCTTGGGGGTGGAGATTTGTAGTTCTATAATTATTGATCCAGCTCTTCTAGCTAATTTTAGAAATAATCGATTCAGGGTTGGCAGGTTTTTGACATGTGACAGTTTTTGACCGTCACGTCAAAAACCTCACTGTCAAAAATGTTAAAAACCTATATTTCATATGTGAAATTTAATTAATACATAAAATTTATATATTTTTTTATAAAGGATAGTGTTTCTAAATATGTTCAAAAGTTATGGAAAAGACAAGAGAACTTTTGGCAGATAATGAAAATAAGTTACTGTTTTATGGATGTTCAGCTCACTGGTTGAATTTAGTTGGACAAGCTCTTACTCTAGAAACAATAATGAAACAAGTTGTAAAGATTCAAAAGTACTTCAGAGAAATTGCCACTTTCCAGCAGGTTTGCTTAAAGAATTCCCTGAATCTTTAAAACCTCAATTACCTGGATGGAGACAAGGTGGAACAGTCAACTTACATGCATTAATACTTTTTTAAAGAATAGACCATTTTACATACAGATTGCAGAAAAATATGAAGAGAAAGTTGATGCTGACATTTGTAGATTGGTAAATAACTACAATTTGTTTAAGCAATGCAAGGATCTGTTCTCGATGCTTCAGCCAGTTGCTATTGGTTTAGAAACCTCACAAAAAGATACTTGTTCGCTTGCTGATGCATGTTCAATATGGCTTTCTCTAATAAAGGACGTTTCATTGCAACCACATATTTCTGTAATTCAGAAGGGAATGAAGGAAATACTTAAAGCCCTTCCATTTTTTGGCCTATATGTTACATCCAATGTATAAAGGAGAAGGTTTGTCAGATACACGAAGTGAAGGTGCTCGTATTTGGGCTGGGAAAAAAATTGCGGGTTGTTTACCATTCGTAATATCATTTGAAGGTGAAGCATCACCATTTCCATCTTCTTATTTTTTACCAAGTGTGAAAAATATGGATCCAGTAACATGGTGGAAGGCTATAAACAAATGTGAATCTCTTAAGTCTGGTCCAGCTTCTGAATTTGTAGAATTAGCCATACAACTTTTATCATGCCCTGCCAGTTCTGCTTCAATAGAACGGATGTTTTCCAGTTTTGGACTAATTCGTTAGTTTTTCAGAAAAATCAGTAATTCTGAATTTTAAATCTTCAATTTTTTTTAATTCATAGTTAACATAAGACAATACAAATTTAAGTGCTTTCTGTTAAATACACAGAGTAGTTAGTGTCAATATACAGTATATTCATTTACTATCCTGAAAATTTAGTTTATCCAAATACTTGTGAATTTCATTTTGCTGAATACTATATAGTTGTGTTGAATATCTAAATATTCAGCTGTTGAATAATTACTTCTTGCTTTCAAGATATACATTATTTGTATTCTTAATACAAGTGGAGAAAAAAATATTAAGAGATAAAAAATTGTTTTTAAATGATAAGTGTAATAATTATAAATAAATATAATAAACAATATGAATTATATTTATCATTATTCATAAATATAACTACTTTTAAATTCAAATTAACATACTGGATAATAAAGAAATTCGGTATAACATTAAAAATTCTTTTTATACACTTGTATCAAGTTTGTATTTATACAACATAACTTGTATGTTCCTTATAAATATTAGGAACTTATATTTATAAGCAGTGTTTTCACTGCAGCGTGAGAATGCGAGAATCTCGCTTATTTTTATCTTTTCTCGCATTAAAAAATTATTAATGCAAGAAGATCGCACACTCTATTAATCATTTTCAAAATGAGCGAATTTTGGAAAAAGATTCGTCTTCTGCCATTTTAAATAAAATCCGTTTCACTTTTCTTCCTTGATCTTTCATTATTTTCAACATGGATCCCTGTTATCTAGCTTCCCTATTTACCAGCATTGTTCAGAACCGGTGCAAAAACAGTAGAACACAATCCCCCCCTCCCTGAACGACGGAACACCTTTCAGAACACATTTTTCTGCAACCACGTGTTCACGGAAGGAAAGATTTCTTCATGTAAGACGTTTAAATTTTTTCAATGCTACAAATTTACTAAGTGATTTCGAATTGTTCAGCATCTGTTGCAAGGTCATATAACACTCAAAACCGAATTAAGACAAAATATCATAGACAAATGACTGATAAACATTTGAGCAACCTAATGAGAAAAGCTGATGAAAAAGTAGATATAGAACGTTTTCCATATGATGATGCAGCAAAAATATTCAATGCTTTAAAATTTAGATGTTAAAAATGTTAATTAGATGTAAAAATGTATTATAATTAAAGAAATATTTTTTTTCCAAGTCTTCGCGTTTTTTTTAATTTTTAGAAATCTCACTTAACTTTTTGAAATCTCACCCTGTTTTTGAGAAAGGGTGAGAAATTCTCTCTCATTTTTTTCTGTAATGAAAACACTGATAAGGAATACTTATATGTCAAAAATGCATAGTAATAAACTTTTAATTTTCTTAAATATCAAAAAAAAAAAAAATTTTTTTTTCAAAATATAAATATTTAAACAATTTTTGTGCAAAACTTTTCTGCACATGCATTTGAATATAAATTTCTGAGATTTTAAATCTGTTATTTTACCTTAATTTTAATTAAAAAATATTTCAAAACCTGCTGATTACCTATAGTATAATTAAATTTCAATATAATGCATGGCAACTGTTGGTAGTTTTGAAGTTTATATATTTTCTTGGCAAACTTCAGTTTTTGACGGTTTAAACCAGTATTATACCCTTGTCATGTCAAAAACCACTTTTTGACGTCAAAAACCCAACCTTGAATCGATTCCAATCAGCAATGCACTAATCATACCATATAATTTTTTTAATGGTGAATTGAGGCATCCTCCACTAAATTACTTTTGTACATAAGTGTTGAGCACCATACACACTGGGTGTTTGTTTAAAAATTATTTATACTTTACCTACTTTAAAATATTTTGCTTAAGAACTCCATTTATATAATTAATTATTGGTATGAGGGAATATTAACTGAATGATACTGACTATTAAATTTTTTAATGCAGCAGTTCTATAAAAATGTTTCTATAAATTGATCTCTAACTATTCTTAATTCTTCAGTGCTCCTGTCTAAAAAAATTATACTAAAAACTGTTGCAACTTTTTGTTCTGTAACTGAATAATTCTGAAATTAAAAATAGTATATTTCTTTCTTATTTTGCAATATAAATTGCCTTTATTATACTTAAGTAGGACAAATTAAATTTGATTTGTTTGTCCATTATTAAAGTAGTTAGGCATATGAATCTATTGCAAAAAATGTTCTAATTTTTTTTCTTTGGTCCACTGCTAAATTATAAAAATATTTAAGAATGCAATTTTTTTTTCAGTCATGTCATTGAACGAAAAGAAATGTCCAAAACAGCTGCCTGACATCTATTTGACTGAAAGCATTTGCAGAAGCAAATCCTTTGGTGGTTTGTCTCACAGAAGAACTAATTCCGCTGATGCCACATTTGCCTCTGCAAAAGAAGATGTGTCTTACGATGGGAGCTTAAGTAAATCATTCTATAGTGGTAATATGCTATTTTAGTTTCTATTCTGAAAATGGCTCTTGTTTATATTTAATTTTTAAGAAAGTAGTTTCTGCAAAATTACTGTTTCTTTTTAGTTTTATTTTCCAAATTTTTTTTCTACTGTTTCAAAGTTTTGAAACTTATGAAAATTAAGCACTTATATTTGTAACTCAGTTGAAAATAATTGATTTCAGTTTCAAAATTACAGTGCTGCTAAAAAGCACATGCATTAAGGGGTGCGTGTTACCCTGTAACTATCATTGACAAATACAAGTAATTTTTAAACTTACATGTTTTCTTCTTCGCATAGAATTTGCTCATGATATTCTTGAATGAAAAAGTGTGCAGTGCATATTCTATATTCTAGATCTTAAAAGAGCAATAGGCTAGAAACTGAGCATTGTATTTCACAAAAATCTGGGTGGCTCTTAAGAGAAAGCCATACCATGGGAAAAACTTTTCATCGCAAATTCTCTTTCGCCTTCCTAACTAATTTAAAGTTTAGAAAAAGTGAGTTCAGACAAACTTAGAGTAAACCATGAATTTTCAAATACTGAAAAGAAATTTTAAAAATATCAAAACGAAAGCAAACTTTGAGAAGATAATATAGAATTACAAAACAGAGAAGTTCTCTTCCAATAATTTGTTTGCATTTAGAAATTTTTTTTTAGCGATTGAAACTTCATGGCTTACTGTGGGTTTGCCTGAACTTACTTTTATGTTTTAAACTAGCAATAGAGGTGAAAGAGAATTTGCGACGAAAAGCTTCTCCTGTATGGCGTCTTCCTAATAGACTAGAAGCAGGGTTGGGTTTTTGACGTCAAAAAGTGGTTTTTGGCATGACAAGGGTATAATACTGGTTTAAACCGTCAAAAACCCGTCAAAAATGTCAAAAACTGAAGTTTGCCAAAAAAATATATAAACTTCAAAACTACCAGCAGTTGCCATGCATTATATTGAAATTTAATTATACTATAGGTAATCAGCAGGTTTTAAAATATTTTTTAATTAAAATTAAGGTAAAATAACAGATTTAAAATCTCAGAAATTTATATTCAAATGCATGTGCAGAAAAATTTTGCACAAAAATTGTTTAAATATTTATATTTAAAAAAAATTTTTTTTTTTTTTTTGATACTTAAGAAAATTAAAAGTTTATTACTATGCATTTTTGACATATAAGGAACATATAACTAATATTTATAAGGAACTTACAAGTTATGTTGTATAAATACAAACTTGATACAAGTGTATGAAAAAAAATTTTAATGTTATACCGAATATCTTTATTATCCAGTATGTTAATTTGAATTTAAAAGTAGTTATATTTATGAATAATGATAAATATAATTCATATTGTTTATTATATTTATTTATAATTATTACACTTATCATTTTAAAACAATTTTTATCTCTTAATTTTTTTTTCTCCACTTGTATTAAGAATACAAATAATGCATATCTTGAAAGCAAGAAGTAATTATTCAACAGCTGAATATTTAGATATTCAACAAAACTATATAGTATTCAGCAAAATGAAATTCACAAGTATTTGGATAAACTAAATTTTCAGCATAGTAAATGAATAGGCTGAATATACTGTAAATCGACACTAACTACTCTGTGTATTTAACAGAAAGCACTTAAATTTGTATTGTCTTATGTTAAAAAGATTATTAAGAAGATTTAAAAGAATATTAAAAAGATTTTTCTTTAAAAGAAGATGTCTAATGTACAAAACTGCTAATGTTTATCTTTAAAAATGTCTAATTTTTAGTATAATCTATACTATACACTAAATTTGGTTATAAATAAATTTCTTAATAATATCACTGCAGATTTTCAATAACACATGAAAATGAATACATAATATTACAAAAGATGTGAGTTTTCAAAAGTACAAGATTTTGGTTACTATTCAAAATATAAGTGTTTCTTCAAAATTTTAAATTTATTTTTTCTAGAACATATTTAGAAACACTATCCTTTAAAAAATATATAAATTTTATGTATTAATTAAATTTCACATATGAATATAGGTTTTTGACATTTTCGACATTTTTGACAGTGAGGTTTTTGACGTGACGGTTTAAACCATGGTTTAAACTGTCAAAAACTGTCACATGTCAAAAACCTGCCTGACTAGAAGTATTCAAAGTTGTAAATGTTTTAACTAATAAAAAGTCTCAGCTTTTAAATAGGTAACAATTAAGCTTAAACTAATTCATCAGATAAATTTGTTTACTGTATGAATTGTTTTTTAGAAATAAGAATACTTCTCCCATTTTGAAAATGTTGTATGCCATAATAATATTGCTGTAAAAGTATCCGGATTTTCAAAACTATGTCAAAATATAAAAAAGAAACTGTGGAAACTGCAAAAAGTATTGTAATATAATTTGAATCTACAATAGCATCATCAAGAATCAAGCCTGTTAAAAAGTAATTTCTGTAGTTCGAAATTCGCTAGCCATAACAATTCTAGCTAAAATTACAATGAAAATATAATTATAATGCATAGCTAGAATTACAATCGAAATGAGTGCTAAAACCGACTTAGATAAAATTAAAAACTTTCTGCAAATACAAAATTAGTGAAAAACTTTTTGCAAGAAATTTATTTACTCTTGTAACTAGTTTCAATACTTTCACTGCCACCTAATTTTGACAAAATATGTTCGAAAATTGTTGATATTTTTTAAAGTCTTTGAATTTTTATAAAACTCTAAATTGATTACTGTACATACCAACATATATTTCTACCAACATATACGGTATTTGAAGATATAAAACTAATTATTGACTTACCAAACTTTGGGTTGTATAATAGTTTTCTAACATTGACGGTAGGGTAGAATATGAGAATTCTGACCCTTTTTTCTATTGATGAGTAATATTAGGAAATGTTGCGCAATGGTGATAAAGTTTCCATGAACAGTGTTCACATATTCGTTTAGATTATGCATATCTGATCTGGTGTCAAGACTGATTTTTGAATAAATCGTTAACAAATAAAGTACGAAAAGGTATGCGAATGATTAAAAAATAAAGTACGAAATTAGTGTTTCATAATAACATCATGTTCGTTAAAAAAAATTTCAAAATTTTAAAAACCGTTTGTAAATGACTGAAAACAATCGTAAATTGATGTGACGAATTGATATCGTCTAAAAGTAGTGACTCAGATTCAAAATTTGCTTATTTTAATAGAATATTTAAAATATCCTAATTTAAAAAACTGTGAATTAAGCCAAAAAAAGAACTATTTAAGAAAAATAATCATTAAATGATGTCTTGGTGCTTAATTAAGTTCAAAGGATGATTATAACAGCCTTGTCCTACAAACCTGCTCACTGAATGAAAACTAAATATGGAAAAAAACAGGTTATACATAGTCGTCAGTTTTTATAGTTTTCACAGGGTATGGTTCAGCTTGGAATTCTTTACTTACATTTTTATCGCTTTCATTATTTTTTTCCTCTGCTTTAGTCTGAATTTCAGCTACAATATCCTTGTGAGTAGATATCTTGGAAGTGATTACATTGGCATCAATTGATACATTACTTTCAAATTTTTCACTATACCTTTTCGAATTGAAGTCTACTTTTTTCTCAATGGTAATTTGCTTTTCAGGATTTGATCCAAATTCTGCATTAAATTCTCCAAAAAGTTCTTCGTGGTCATCATGGATCCAAACAATTAAAAAGTCAAGTAGATTAAACAAATCTCCCCAACCAGAAAGAACTCAATTGATTTTTGATACTATTTGCAAAGGCTTACAGTAAGTATTACTTTTTATAATATTAAATTAATAAAATGTTTGAATAAGTTATAAATATCTTAAAATTTTTATTTAACAGTGAGAGTATAAAGTTGGTACAAAGTGAGATATCAGATTCACGTATCGCTTTTGACAATATATCAGTATCTTCTGTTACGGTGAGTTCATTTTCTATGTTTTATCATTATGCAATGATTTTTATTACTTATAATTAATTTAATGCTTATAAATTATTATAATGCTTATAAATTATAAGCATGCTCAATAATTTCTCTGGGTTAGTTTAGATTATCTTTAAGTGAACCCTTAATTGTCATGCTACTTATTGTACAAAATATTCCTTGCAAACTTTTCTTTCTTTTTTTTTGGGGGGGGGGGGGANTTTTTGGGGGGGGGGGGATATGAATAGAAAAATATTAAATATAGTGTTATTTTTTCATAACTTCATTATATTTCAGCATCAGACTCTGACTATGCCTATCATTTTATTGAATTTTTTATTAAAAATTAAATGTTAACATCTACCAATTCATAACTAAACTTGTAAGTTTTGTATTTCAATAAAGTTTCTCAATCTTGCTAAGCAATATTTTTATAATTTCTTTTTCAGTAGAATATATTTTAGTTTCTCTTATCGGTTTTGGGCAGTAAATATAGTATTCTTGATATAAATCTATATAGTAAATATAATATTCTTTATAAGTAAATATAGTAAAATAATATACTTGATTCTTAAAAGAGATGTATTGAAATTAATTAAAGTATTTATTGATATCCTAGTCCCAAGGCAGACTATATGAATTTGAGAAGGTGAGTTTTTGGATTTGACATTTTGCATTCTTTAATTTGAATTCGTTTGTTAGCTTCTTCTTATTTCCATGCATCTTTCTCAGAATGTGCATTGTGTTACTAATGAAGTAACATGCATGATATCAAAAGGCTACAATAATATAATTTCTTGCATTTCATTCAATATTGTTTATATTTACAATATCGTTATCTGCATGAATGTTCACTTTGTTTGTAAACATCCTGTTTATTTTTTATAGTTTCTGTAGAAGCATTGTTTTGCATGTCAAGATTCAATCTTTCCATAAATTATTTCTTTTTAGATTATAAGTCTTCTTCCTTTGTTATTCGTTTATCTCAATGATCTTAATCTTGCAACTGTGTCAGATTAGAGCTTTTACTTTGTAACACACTCTCTTCACTTAGTTTAAAGTTATTTTATGCAATGGAAATGCCATGAATTTGTTAGCTTGATTATTGTTCTAAAATTACTAATGTTTCTTGTATTTATTTTTCCCTTTGTTTGTTTCAAATTTTAAAATTATTTGTCAATAACCTTCGCATATCTTATTAATTTTCTGAAAATGGGGATTTGATTGCAATTTACTAAATAAAAGAGTTGCAGGCTAAACTTGAACAGTTATTTTCTCTTTTCTGTTGCTCTACTTAACATTGTTGATTGTTGTATTGATATGTTTGCTATACAGTGTATTAAGGTTAGAATATGCATGCTTAAAAAGTATGCTTAAGGCTCAAAATATGCTTGCATTTTACATTAGTATGGGAACTGCTTTCAGTAAAATGGTCTAAAAATTTTCAAATTTTGAAACTTAAAAAATTCTCTAGTTTCATGTTAGTAATTTTAACACTTTGGCTGTCACAAATATAGAAATTTACATTCTTCTCCTGATTGCAAAGCCAGTATTCCTTTGTTATTTGATGGAGAAACAGTGTATAAAGGAGAAACATTTGACCAAATCAGGCCATTTGTGCAATTGTGAGAGATTGCTTTATCATGCATTAATAAACAGCAACACTTGCCTAAGTATAGTTTTTTATTTTATTTTAATCTTTATAATTCTTTATTTCTTCGTTCATAGTTAGTGGTATGATTCAGTTACTATGCACATACCAGATTTGATATATTTGGAAATTGAAACTGGTTCATGAAAACATAAATAAATTTTATGAAAATTAAAAATCATCAATATGTAATCTGAAAAAAAAATTCAAATTGGCTGTTGCTTTTTTTATTTCTTTTTTTATAATATCTCTGCTTAATGTTGCATATTACCAAATTTAAGTATACGAAATAGTTTTTGTTTGCTTTTAAAGATGCAGTTCATATGCTTAATGCTGGTAAAAGAATTGCAATAACCATAAAACATTTTTTCATCTTCTTAAGAATTTTGTCATGGCTTCAATTCAGTTCTTGCTTTCCGATTAAACAGATTCATGTTTTGGTTGTTCCATTAACTTTATTATTTCTGAGCCAAAGACTCTTATTGATGGTTGCGGGTAAGGGGAGCTGTCACTCTTTATGACAGAATGCTCTTAGGGAGCATTACATATATATGTAGATATCAACTAGATGGAATTAAGGTATGAGTAAAGGAACTGATGAATTCAGTGAAAAATTATCTAACAATTACATCAATAAATTGGCCATGAAGTTTTTTAACAAGGAAAGAAAAATAATTTAAGGAATTTTAGTAGTGTACATGATGTACTGTGAAGTTAATCCCAATGAAGGATGAGTTCTTAGTGAAAATTAAATTGAAAGAAAGATCATCTTGACTGAAAGACTTTACAATTATGATAATATACAGTTGATTTGCTACTAAATTTACCAAACTCAAGACAATTAACTGAAAGAAACAATGAAGTAACCTTTATACACAAGCTTTTCCTTTATGAGAAAGCATTTGCTCTTATTTCTGGATGTAAAAGGTGGTTTAGACTAATGTTTACATTTTCAACACTGAAGACATTTTATTTTGAAAACATTCGGATGCATGAAATCAAATTGAGCTTCTGTCTAGACCATTGTTTCTCAGCGAGGTCCATGCTGCTCTCGGGGGGCAGTCGGAGTATGTGGAGAGGCAATGAACTTGTTTTAGGCAGCAGGGAGGCGATGAGCTTGTTGTCATTCAAATTTAATTTTAAAACTTTCAAATGAAATTATTAAATAAAGATTAATTTAATAAATAAAATAAATCCAAAATTATTATTAAAGAAAAAAAGATTAAATTTATATAACAAATTAAGATTTTACGATTCAGCATTTTTACCAGCAATAAAATGAACTTATGCGACACATATTCTCCAATTCAGTGCATGAGTTGGTTGTTTTTGCCTCATTCAAGCCATTTATCGATAATTGAAATGCATGCAATTTCAGTATGAATGTTTGATTTGACCCAGGTTTTTTATGATGGTTTTCGTTTGCTTTTCAGTTTTTCCACCCAGTTTCGATTCGATTTCGTTGTTTATTCAGCCAGGTACATGCGTAAATTAGTTTATTATTCTAAATTATTTATTAATTTTCAGGAATAGTTGATTTGTTTTCAACCTATGTTGTTTTGATGCCCCCAACAATTTCGGTTAACAAAAAGAAGTGTCATCAATACAGTGTCACATACTTGAAGTTCGGATTTGTTCAATCACCTTTGAACTCTCAACTATGCATGTGTTTACTTTTTAACAAAGCTTTATTTATTAAGGCAATGAAATTTTACTGTTCGCAGGAGCATATGCAAAATATTCATCCTGACAAGCAAAATAAAGATTTGTCATTTTTCACAAACATCAAGGACAAGTTTCTAAAGGCACCTTCAGTCTCAGGCTTACTAGCAACCTCATCACAAAATTGTTATGATGGTTTGAAAGCGGCTTATAAAATGTCAAAATTAATAAAATCTAGCCGCATCCAATGTAATAAAAATATCCTATTAAGCAACGATACAGTGCTGCAATGAATTAATGAGATGGCTGAAGACGTTGAAGTTTCCTTATGCAAACTTTTGATATCCAGCATATGTTCCCTTAAATTGATGAGTCAAAGAGAAAAACATTCCTCTTGCTAATATTATGTTTGTTGCCACTGTTGGAGCTCCTGCATTGGTGGGCCGACTTCATGGGTTTATCCCCCTTTTGAAGAGGGAGGTACCAGATATTTTAGCTGTTACTGCGTGATTCACAGACAGCATTTAGTTGGAAAAATCTCTGCGAATCTTTGCATCAGTGACTGCTCTATGTCGATCTCTGCTGTGAACAAAATTTGCTGTAATGCTCTCAACAATTTATTATTTAGACGACTGTGTAAAAAAAGAGATGAATTCAATCGTTTTGTGAATATTGAAGCAGCAGAAATTCAGATTTTGGTTAAACTTTCAACTAATGAAACTTTGAAATGATGATCTTCTCACAGAATTTTGGCTTCTAGGCAACATCAGTCGGCCTCTACTCTGGACTGTGGACTATCATCAAAATTTTTTTAATTGCCTTCCCTTCCTCCTAGGGGTGGTTCCAGAAATTTTTTCTGGGGGGGGGGGTCATAGACTCAGATTCCCCCTGCCCCCCATAATTAATATTTTTTTCGAAATATTTTTTTTGAAAAAAAAAAAAACCTGGAGTTTTTAATGCTAGTCTTCTCATTTATTTTTTTCATAATGAACAATAGAACAATACATAAATAATTCAAGTATTCAAAATCTTTAAATAATTAATGTAATGCGTTTTTAACAAACTTTGGCAAATACAATCTTTGGTTAAACCTGTTGAAGCGCGCTTCAACATTATTAATGCTTACAATGAAACTATGACGAATTTCGTTTTATTCTTTTGGATTATTATTCTTGAAACAGTGAAGAACGTAATTAGATGGGAAGAAAATCAAACATGTTTCTGACCTACCTAGGTGTATATGCCCCCTTAAAAATTTTTTAAAATATTTTATTTCTTTTGTAAACTAGTAAAAAAATTATTTAAAAATTTTTTTTTTTCAATTTGGGGGGGGGGGG